AGGCTTAAAAAAAATAAAAAGGAACTTGTTTTTAAAAAAAAATGTGAATGACTGTAAAATAATCTGTTTTTGGACTCATGTGTTTCCCAGGTGGATATAGTTTGTAAACAATGTGAATAAAATATTTAACATGTTGAACTGTCTCTGTTTGTTAACTTCCACAGAACATACCCAGCAAAGCACTGACAGCCTAAACCTTTGAGGACCCTTCCGTTGGTTTCGTAGTTTAGGAGATGGGGAGTTTTAAAGTGCCCCAAGATATGCAAGAAATATATGGAGTAATCCTACCTCCATAAGACAGAGGTCCCCTCAAAAAACAGCCCTAGTCAGTATGGCTAAGTGGATAGAACGTCAGCCTGTGGACCAAAGTTGTCCCGGGTTTGATTTCAGTCAAGGGCATATACCTGTTTCAGGCTTCTCCCCGGCCCGGGTCCTGGTCAGGGCGTGTGCAAGAGGCAACCAATCGATGTGTTTCTCTCACATCGATATTTCTCTCTGTCTTTCCCTCTCTCTTCCACCTCTCCCTAAAAATCAATGGAAAAATATCCTCAGGTGAGGATTTTTAAAAAAAACCGCATGGGCCAGTGAGGCTGAGATATGTTTTTGTGTGGTGCACACATACACAAAAACTTTTTTTTTGTTGTTCTGATTTTTGTTCTGTGTTGTACTATGAATTAGTTTCCTTGATTACAAATCAGGAGATTTACAGAAAAATCCAGTTTTCTCATTTCTTATAAAAACCAGACCTGGCAGCACTGGTTTCCCGGTGTCTGGAGCTGCGTGGAACTCTCCCTTTGGGCAGAGCCTCCAGGCACCGCCTCCCTCCGCCTTCCAGCCCTGCTCTTGCACTATTGTGGTTGGTTTGTTAGTTTCATGCATCCAGAGAGCTTGCACATGTTTAACTTGGGCTCCCTGTCCTGGCCGCCTAAAAAGGTAGGTACCATATTAATGCACTGGGTCAGAGCCCACAGTCCGGCTGAGAGTGTCCAGGAAACTGGAACCGAGGGAACAAGAGGGGCACTGGGAGCTTCCGGGCAAAGAGCTTGGCAGAACCAAGCAGCTCAGGGGACGGCAGGGACTGGGGTGGGGGCAGAGCAGGCAGCACTGAACAGGACTGGGGAGCAACGCGCAACCTAGGAGATACTGTCCTACCCGCAGAGGGGGCATCAGGCAACTCCGAGAACTCAAACAATGAATCCCTCTGCTACTCAAGAAGTTGTCACTTTATAAAACCATTAAATCCTTTTTGTATCAGTTTCCTAAGGCTGACCAAGACAAATCACCAAATTTGATGGCTTGAAACATCAGAAATTGCCCTGGCCGGTGTGGCTTAGTTGGCTGGGTGTCTGTCTGGTGCACTGAAGGGGTCGCTGGTTCGATTCCTGGTCAGGGTACATGCCTGGGTTGTGGGCTCAATCCCCGTAGGGGACATGCAGGAGGCAGCCAATCCATGTTTTGCTTTCACATCGATGTTTCACTCTCTCCTCCTTCTCCCTTCCTCTCTCAAAAATCAATTTAAATATCTTTTAAAATTCCGTTAAAAACCTAGAAATTTATTTTCTCACAGTTCTGGAAGCTGGAAGTCTGGTGTTGGCAGAGCCAGGCTCCCGGCACGGGCTCTCGGGATGGGCCCTCCTGGCCTGTTCCAGCTCCTGGGGGCTCCAGATGTTCGGTAGCTTGTAGCTAAAGCTCCCATCTTAGCCTCCCTCTCCATACGGCCCGCCCCCTCCTCCTCCCCTTTGCTCTCTGAGGACGCTTATCATTGGATTTAGGGCCTAGCTCATCTCAAGACCCTTAGCTTAATGACCTGCAAAGATCATTTTTCCAAAGCAGGTCGCCTTCACAGGTCCCGGACGTTGGGACATGGACATGTCCTTTGGGTGGGGACCATCATTCAGCCCGCTCTGCCCTGTAAAATGAGGGTTTTACTCCAGTGGGGAATGAAGTATGGTAGATAGTTTAACTTTAACCCCGTTGTTTGGCTTCTGTACTTATTTGCTTTGTTTAACAATAGAAAAGTTATTTTGGTTTTCTGAATTATATAAATCATCCCATTCGATTAAATACCCTATTGATTGTAATGTGAAATCCCATTTGTAGTGGTCATACTGGTCTTAGAAAGCACACTTTCATTTACCTGGGAAGGACAGCACAGTTATCCCAAGATCAGAGGGCTCTAGTTAACGTGTCCTTGTTGACTCAGTGTTCCTGAGACCCAAAACTGTAATTTAGATAACATGCCTAAGTTTAACCCAGGTTACTAATTCCAGACCCGAGGGCTCTAGATAATGTGTTTCTGTCAATTCAGTGACCCTGAGACCCAAAACTATAATTTAGATAACATGCTGCTTCTGCTTCTGTAAACTGCTTTTTTGCAAACCAGGTTCCTCATTCCAAACCTTGAGATGTAATCAATACCTTTGTGATCTTTGCCTATATAAGTCCGGCTGTGCCATCATCTTATCACTACGAGATTTGGGAAAGCAAAATGGCCCCTCATAGTCCCGGATTGCAATAAATGTGACTCTTTCATTCGGGGGGGAAAAAAAAAAATGAGGGTTTTACTTAAACATAGAGTTTCATAAGACAATTCATCCAAGAACAGAAAATACAATGACTGTTTAAGATAGCACACTTTAAGCAAGCCATACCAAATAACTAAAAACAACAGAAAATGCAAAATTCGCTTAGCAAACAGTCAAATGAGAGAATGCATATCCCCTCCGTAAAAAGGACCGCCATAGAGCTTTCCATAGCAAACTTCCCCGATGTTACTAGGAGAGAAGATGGTGGAGATAGCGAAGTAAAGGCAACTCTTTTCAGATACTTTTCAATAAAGGGGGCAGTGACAGGAGAGGCCTGGGAGATGCAGAGAAGATCTGAGGAGACGTGGAACAACAGGTCTGCACACCAAGGGGACTGATACGGAAAGAAGGGAAGAACTGGCGATTCGAGAGAGGGCAGGGGTAACTCCCGAGAGGCAGGAGGCAGAGGACGGTGCGTGTGTGGGTCTGACCTCCAGTGGGAGCACAGCTCACCTCTGTCAACGGGAAGGAAAGAAGAGCAGGTGGCTGTCGATGCTGGCAAGCTGGGGATTCGGGTAGAGGGACAGATGGGGAGTTATTCTATCCTTGGTGAATAAGGAGCTGAGAGGGCAGGGGGGCACGTGGAGAGCTTGCTGAGGACAGAGACTGACTTCCGCACAGCGCCGAGGGCCCACTTGAGGTTTGTGGTCACGTGTGTAAAAGCCCAGGCAGCAGGGCTGTGTTTGGCTCCAGCCACAGTCATCTCAGCCCAGGAAGAGGCGTATTTTACCAGGCTGCGTCTGGAGTAACTAGGACTTTAAAGTATAAAATGTAAACACAGTAAGAAGGGAAAGTAATGGCATGAAGAGGGTGATGACCAGTGAAGTTTCTGGGAATGTGGAAAACTGATGGGAGGGGAAGTCTGTGCTAAATTGTTCAGATATGTTCACACACATGCACATATGCACATACGCGAGCGCGCGCACACACACACACACACACAAAACAATCAGCTCCATGGGCAGAGTACACTTCCTCACCCTTTGACTTTGGGCTTAGCCATATGACTTACGTTGGCCAATGTCGGTGAGCATGATAAAAATCAAGGCTTGAGCCCCAACTGGTTTGGCTCAGTGGATAGAGCATCAGCCTGCAGACTCAAGGGTCGCAGGTTCGATTCCAGTCAAGGGCATGTACCTTGGTTGTGGGCACACCCCAGTAGGGAGTGTGCAGGAGGCAGTTGACCGAGTTTCTCTCTCATAGATGTTTCTAACTCTCTATCCCTCTCCCTTTCTCTCTGTAAAAAATCAATAAAATATATATTTTTTTTAAATCAAGGCTTGAAACACCTGTGCAACTGTCATCCCGTTTCCCGAGAAAGGAAAAACTGTGTGTTTCCTTTTCTTGCATTCTTGCTCTTTTGCCATCGTTGCTGGCTAGCCATCACCATGAGTAGCATGTATCTTAATGTCACTTAAAAGGGATATAATTCAATAGTGCTTCCTAGGAAGTAAAAGCTACCTGGGGAAGTTAACCTCGCCAGTATTTATCTTTGAAAATCACAAAAGAGGTCTCCAGAATAAAATTGGAGGCACTTCTATGTGTCAGACTTTTACATACAAGAAACATGATAGATACATGTGATTTTAACTATGAACTTATTTTTATACTACAGAACAGAACAAACCAGAAACTTATCTCAAAATTTCTGTCTTTGTTTATAACCAATATTTAAGTCAATAACCTCTTTCCCATTGTCAAGTTATATGAATTTTTATCAGTTTATCTTATATATTATATTTCATACTATCGAGAGATATAACTATAGTGAAGCTACTATATTGAAAGTATTCACCAATACTTGGAAAGTGGGTACAAATGGATACATTTACTTTCTATGTGTAAAAATACAACAGTTTCCAAGGGCACTCAAACATCGGAGGAATTTAGGCAGGAGAGTCTGATAGAAGAATAAAGAAGTTGGAGCTCAAAGACTGAGAATTTGTATTGCTAGAGGTCTCATGAAAGCTGAAGGTCTCAGGGCATTCCTAAGAGTGGTACAAACCGGTTTTGAAGATCTGAGATGAAGGGAATGCATATTTAAGGAAAATAGGTTTTCACTTAGTATTCAGAATTTACCTTTAAAGTATTCCACTTGACTTTCGAGCAAACATGGGTTTTAAGAAAAGAACTTGAGGTTCTGAGCCCTTATTTTAAAAACTCATAAGCAGATGGGGAAGTAAGCTAATGAACAAGAGATCGAGGTAATTTTCAAAGGTGGGCAGTTTGCTATTTTTATAATATAATTAAAGTTCTGGTCCACAGGGTCTTAAGGCAAATAACATAGTATCCTCATGACATTGGTGTTTCCAATTTTAAAGGTAAGCATCTGATAACAGATGATATTCAGATTCAGAGTTCTGTGGGACATCGCAAGTTATATATGGAGCCGAAAGAAATCAAATACCATTCTTCTAGTCTTATGAACAGATTATTTTATTGTAAAAATGTAATAATTATAAATCGGTCTGTTGTAAAATCAATGCTGTTAGCATAAATGTAATTCCAAGTTGTTGTTTTTATAAATCTGATCAGTTCCAAGCAGAAATAAGCATTAAGCCATGATGGTGTTGAGGTTATCTTCAAAAGACACTAAGGCGTTAAAAATGTGTTTTTCCTATAAGGAACTCAGAAAAATTAAAAATTCTGAGTGGCTTATCTTTATCTTTTCTTCATATATATAACAACCATATTTTTAAATAATAGGCCATGAGATGATATGTAAACATACTAATTTCACCAAGATTTTTTTTCTTACCAAACGAAATTATATTTCTGCTAGAAACTTTCATTCTGATCATTTCAAGTGAAGAATCCAACCAACTGTCAAAAGCAAACACATGTTGTTGTTGTTTTAATGATTCTTAAGCCCTAATCTTCATTGTCCCCTTCATTTTCATTAAAAGCCATTATTACATTATTTGCTATGGAAACGGAATTATCATCTGAAAGACTTGCGTTTGCACATCTAGCACAGCAGAATCTTCTATCCAGGTGAGTGGTGAGTGGATTATGGGTGTGAATTCCATGCTTTGCTTCATAGGCGGAGAGCAACTCGGCTCCAGACCAGGGCCCCGACCCTCACAGGTTCGCTTTCTCCCTTGCAGCCAGGTGAGACCCGTGCTGCATAAAGGTGTGAATCGCGTTCTGTTTTAAAAGAAGACCAGCAGATTAATTAGCTCGCTGGGCAGCAGCAACCTGGTATTTATCTGAGCTTTAATTTGTGCTCAAATAAAAATAACAATTCAGAACTCATTCACCTTAAACTGCCTTATATTGTCCAGAGCTAAAATAAAGAGTACGTGTTTTGCACGTGAGTTCTTTAGATCTCAAGTGAGTTTCTGAACAGCTGCTTTGAGAAATCTAATAGTTGTGCCTGCGGAGAACTATCCTAGAAGGAAACCACACGATGCCTCGTCTAGCCCGGGGCACACACGCTCTGCCTCAGCCGGCCCGCTCTGGGCTCACCTTAGGCTTCTCGGCGTTGTACTTGTCCAACAGAGCCTGGATGCGGGCCCCGTAGTCAGGATGGACATCGCTGAAGTTCTTGACCTGAAAATAAATGGAGACATTACCTTAGTCCCTCCCAGGACAGTGTCTGTTTCATGGTGTTCACTCTGGGGAGAAGGAATGCTTCCTCGGGAAGTGGAACCACACAGTGGTCAACAACACAGAGTAAGGCTGGGGTCCAGTGCCAACGCTGACGGGCACTGCACAACCTGAGACAGGCCATTCTTCTGCACGTGCCCACCGCCCACAAGGTGAGTCAGATAATGCACCTCCCTCACACACGCCTGTGAGAAAAGGCACAGGAGGCAAGCTGCGCTGACTGCGTGTAGAGAGCTGACCTCAGAGGAACACAAGTTACAGTGATTTGTATTCAGAAACGGGCCCAGATGCCGCCTGAATTTAAAATATACAAAGTCATGGCCACGTGCTGGGCAATTCCACACACACTTCAAGCAGGAATTCCCTACTAGGCTGGGCCCCAGCAGGCAGCAGGATGAGATGGGGCATCATAAATCCACAGGAAGCCTTACAGCTTCGGCACATGTGAGTAGAAGGCAAAGAGTTCGCTCCTTACACGCTGTGCCCTAGTCATTCTCATCAAGAAGTTAAGATCCAACCTGCCCCAGCTACCTCACGGGGCAATTGTCTGGCTCTCCGCAGGAGATATGCCATATCCACTGGAGAGAAAGTAATCAGAGGCTGAGTGGGGCTTAGTTCCCATTTTCTTAAGTCCACTTGGCTCAAATAAAATAGAAAGGACACTGTTCCTGTTACGGGTTCTCTCACAACTGCACTCTCTTCTCCAGCCAGCAGAGGCCGCCCTTCAGCTGCCAAGGTCTCACTCACCGCTTTCCTCTGGATGAACAGCTGGGCGTCCTTCAGGTGGCCCGCGATGTTCTCACACAGCCGTTTCCTCTCCTCCTCATTCAGTACGCACGTATAGAACGTCCGCACCTGCCCAGGGAACATACACAGGGTGGGCGCAGTGGAATCACCGCATTATCCCACGCAAAACTCACCCAGGATGCCACTTTTGAGATGAAAAAGTGAGACTTCCCATTTGCGGAAGAATGGAAGTTTTTAGAAGTTAAGAATAATCTTAAATTACAGTTAAAACTGTCATTTGTGTTGAGTTCTTCACTTTTTGTTTTGTTTTATTTTGTCAAATAGGAGGAATTCAGTTGTTGATAATAGCTCATTTAATAATGAGCTATTTAATAATGTCTTTTGTAGTCACTGCTAATAAATCGCTTATAAAGTATAAGGCAATATAGCCTACAGTTAAAAATCCCACCACACTCTTCATACTGAGAAGTCCAGACTGTGCAAATGATCATCAAATACCCAGTTAGCACAACCTTTGTTCAATTCACCCAGAACCAGAGGGGGGGGAAAAAAAACTAATTCATTTATATCCTGTTATTCAAAATCAAGATTTCTTGGAGAAGATAGATGTTAAGTGATATTTTCCTTAGATCATTGGGTTTGCTGCTAAAATTAATAGCAATAGATTAAAATTAAAAACAGGAGCTAAGTATCAGGCATGAGTTCTAATAGCCTCTGCTCATTTCTGAAATCAAGCACGGTCGTGGCAAAACCGCAGCCATGTCACAACAAAAGCTATGAGGCAACAAGGAGAAAAGCTTCGAAAGCAAAAACAGATGGAGGAAGAGTAAGAGAGTCATGTGAACAGGACGCCCCATACCTCCACTCCCGCTACTGAGGCTCCCAGAGCTATTTTGAATCCAGCTCTAGTCCCTTAACTCAGTCAGTCCTGCCCGGATTCTGAGATTTGCTACCCTCAAGCTTAACTTGCCCATTTCTTAGATTTCCATGGACTCACTTCTTCCCCAATGGCCCCCACTGTACCTTAGGTAACATTTGGGAGAACTGAAATGAGGCATCCCTCGTACCGAGAGAGCAGAGTAACACAACTCTCCCACTCCACCCAGTAAAGGGACTGGTGTATGATTAGAGATGACTTTCCTGGATTCGACAAGAGACCTGTTAGACAGTTTGAGAGGGGGAATTGGCAGACTCCCCTAGCAGACAAAGAAGGCACTACCTGAGAGACGTTATCATCGTTGGCAGTGTTGTAGCGCCGCACGTCCCCGGAGACGCGGGTGCTGCTCTCCAGGGCCAACTTTGGCTGATGTTCTGGGGCACTGAAGCTGTTGGGGTAGTAGTTGGGAGCACCACCTTTAAAGGCAAACCACACAGATTCACTAAGGGGGAGAAAAAATGAAGGGAGTCTACATACAATGCAATATGAAATACATTCAATTACATGTACGGTACATGTATACACACATGCACATACATACATACACATACATCTACTTGTCATGCACATGTTATTTTTAATGTACCATATTTACCCACAGGCAATACTCAGATTCTTAGAGAATACTGCCATCTTCCAAACGTTCGCATGGGCTGCCTCACTCTAGGTCAGTGATTCTCAACCTGTGGGTCGCGACCCCTTTGGGGGTCGAACGACCCTTTCACAGGGGTCGCCTAAGACCACCGGAAAACACATATATAATTACATATTGTTTTTGTGATTAATCACGATGCTTTAATTATGTTCAATTTGTAACAATGAAATTGGGGGTCACCACAACATGAGGAACTGTATTAAAGGGTCGCGGCATTAGGAAGGTTGAGAACTACTGCTCTAGGTCTTAATGAAGAGATCTCAAATTCCCCTTGAACACGTCAATGATCAGATCTGTGAAATCTGATGCCTGTCAGTACAAATACATTTCTTCAGGTTTGATTTGACACCCCCGCCCCGCCTCCCCCAATAGAAAATGAGACCCGAGGACACGTTCCAAACTTAAGGATTTCATGCGGGCTCAGGTTCGATTCCAACACTGAGTCACAGAATTCTTGGGAGCAACTCCAAGTTCCAGCTCCACTCCTTCAATGACTGAGCCCTGAGATCTTAACCACTGCAAAGCCAGGCAGTAATTAGTGGTAGGTCAGGGATTAGAACTCTGGGTCGTTTGTCTCCTCCATTCCAGCACACACTATACTCCCATGACACAGCTCTGCTTTGCTTTTCGTTAAGACTCTTGGATCCTCAGGGTATCTCTCCTGTATTATTATGACTTTATTCAATTCTACTTCACTCTGACTTCTCTCCAAAGATAAATAAAATAGGAATTTTTAAAACTTTGATATATTCCTAGTATATCAGCATCATCTATCTGAACTTATAGGAAAAGAAGTGAAAAATATAATCAAAAAATTTTATGACTTCTGGGAAAAAAAATGAAGCCCCCCTCCCCATTTTGGCATATTTATTTTTCTAACTCCACTCTGCTTTAGCCGATATTAGCAGAAGCCTGAATTATCTGCGCACACAACTGCCTACAGGAGGGGCCTAGAAACATGCTAAGTGGCTTGAGCAAACCAGTCTGGGGCTGGGATTTTACCCAGCACATTGCCAGAATACACAGACTGCCCAGAGCGGATAATTAAGAGGTGCCTCCTATCACATCGATCAAGTGCATGCAGAAGGACGGGGGACAGCACATTATTATGGAGTCCAGTCACTAGCTCCAGAAATGCATTGCAGGCCAACCACATCTCCATGGAAAGCAAAGTGCCCCAATAACCAGCCACCGCAGTGGTTTTCTGCATTAAGTGCTAGTTCTTCAAAATGTGCCCAACTGAGTAATGTTTAAGTTCTATTTCCAAATAAGCTCTGGCCTTTACTCAAAGTGGGAGTTGTCTTCAAGTCATTGACTCCTGGGAACAATTAAGCACTTTCACTGAGCTTTAAGAGCACAGCCCAAATGTTACACTTTTAAAACAAGGAGGCAAAGGTTGTATACACACACAGTTTTTCACATGTATACCACTAGAATGGTAAACAGGAAGCAATTACTGCCCTAGCTGGTCTGGCTCAGTGGATAGAGCGTCAGCCTGCGGACCAGAGGGTCCCAGGTTCGATTCCGGGCAAAGGCACGTACCTAGGTTGCAGGCTCCTCCCTGGCCCGGGCCCTTGTCGGGGCTCGGGCAGGAGGCAACCAGTCGATGTGTTTCTCTCACATTGATGTCTCTCTCTGTCTTTCCCTCTCTCCTCCACTCTCCCTAAAAATCAATGGGAAAATATCCTCAGGTGAGAGAGAGAGAGAAAGAAGCTATTACTTATTAATGAAGTTCCAAAACATGCATGAACTTCTCTGACTCTTCACAAGTGAACAATTCTCAGTAATAGCCAGTCTCAATAACAAAGGACCAAAGGATACGAATGAAATAAAAAATCACGTTAGAAAAAAGATGCACAAGACAGACACAAGAAGTATCAATAAAAAATCACTTTAGAAAAAAGATGCACAAGACAGACACAAGAAGTATCAATTACTTTGGGCAATGATACACTCCATACCTCAGAGAGCAGAAACAGGGTCACCCCCCAATGTAATCAGTTAGTGAGCATATAAACTTGTTACATAATGGAAAAGGCTTAGTGATAATAGTAACAAGTGCAAGGCCCAAAATTATATATGCAAAACAATCGTAAATGTATAAAAAAATTCATAAAAGACTGGCAAGAAATGTAACAAAATGGAACAGTTGTGGCTTGTGGGGGTTGGGACCACAAGTGGGTTTTTCTTCTCCCTTTTATCTTACAGTTTCCAAATTTCCTTTAGGGCACATGTAAAATCCTTATCTTAGAAAAAATTAACTTTGTTTGAATATAGACACCTAGGGCTATAGATATAACTGAATAGTAAAATTTCTGAAAAGATCAATGTAAGCAGCCTATTATTAAAACACATGTCCTAAACAGAAAAATAAAAAAGGAAACTACGATCTCTACTAAACTGTGGAACATTAAAATGAAAAAACATTCACTAAGCATTCTCTAATTAGAACAATAATTAGAAATAGATGCTATTTGTACATGGCACCCAAAAGTGTAACTTAAAGAAAAAAAAACACCCATAAATGTGATAAATGAGCTCCAAAAAACAAAATGCAGCAGAGTCTCATCTCACCAGTTGATTTACATGAATTCAACTATATTCACTTGACAAAAAACAGTGGGGGAGAACCCCTTGATTTTTCTCTGCATCCCCTATTTTCTAGCTCCTCCTACCCCCTCCAAATTCTAGCTAGACTTCTCCACAGCACAGCAGAAGTTCAGAGAAATAAAAGCCAGGGTAATGTAAGGAATTGTCCACTTCTGAAGAGTCTTTAAAACCTAACCCCTATGTTAGACGTGACTCTACTACAGTCACTGTGCAAGTTCTTCCTCCCTGCCTCTCACTATAGGATGGATAGCAAGGAAAGCCAGAGGTGGAATTCTCAATAAAACATAACAACAGTATGGAGAGTCCTCAGACAGTTTGGACCTTTGCTGCTGGGCAAAAATTATGTGGTTGGCAGGAGTGCCTCTGTGAGCCCCTTCCCAGAGCTGGAGGTTCCGCAAGGCCAGACTGGAAACCGCTGTCCCACCCTCTGCTCAGCAGTGCCCCCCGCCCTCCCAGGGAGCCGAGAGTCTTAGGCCTACCCTGGTTGTCGACCACGCACATGGGGCCGTCACGCTGATAGTTGGCCACTCGAGCACGGTAGGGACAGTTCACAGGGATCTGAAGGTAGTTGGGTCCCAGGCGGTGGCGGTGAGTGTCAGGGTAGGAAAAAAGGCGGCCCTGCAGTCATAAATGCAACGGACACTGTGAGCAGTAACGAAAAGAAGCAAAATTCTACAAAATCAACTGTACATGTCGGTAGGTATTCAACGTACATTAGTTAATAATATAACTAAAACTATTGAAAAACGTATTTTCTATAAAAGTCTCAGATGTTCTCAATGTCAAAGTGGAAAAAGTTATTATTCAATACAACAGGGAACTCTTAGCGTGCCTCCAAAGAGTGGTGCCTGCTCAGCCTGTGTGGCTCAGTGGTTGAGCATCAACCTATGAACCAGGAGGTCAAGGTTCAATTCCCGGTCAGGGCATAGGACCAGGTTGCAGGTTCAATCCCCAGTAGGGGACATGCAGGAGGCAACCGATCAATGATTCTCTCTCATCATTGATGTTTCTATCTCTCCCTCTCCCTTCTTCTCTGAAATCAATAAAAATATATTTTTTTTAAAAAAAGAGTGACACCTGAACTGGAACCACACGCGCCCAGCAGCAGCCATCAGTCACTGCAGTCTGAGCCGGGTGCAAGCTTTCACTTCTGTTTCATGATCACAGTCCAAAATCCAAAAGGACTGGTTTACTCAGTAACTGTTAAGCCAATTATTCTCCTATGATGTCTAGTCCACAGGAGAGTTTTCACTCTTTGTACACTCAAAAGGGCATATCGGAGAGTGAAGAAAAAGGACCGAATGCCTAGGGTCGTTACCAAGACGAATGGTTAAATTAACCCACTGCCTTTCACCACTGACAACAATAAATTTAGTTTGAAAAACCATGTCCGCGTCTTTTTACAGATGGAAAAGCCATGTCCGGGTCTCTTCAAGCATCACCATTGAAGAGGAAATGAATAAAATCAATGTGACCAAGGTGTTATAATCAACTAAAAAATACTCCCTACTGTCAGTTACAGACTGAACAGCGAGTGCTTTCTATACCCTACAAATACCTGTGGCATTTTCTAACGTAACTTCTTGAAGACTAAGGGACTAAGTGTCAGTGTTAGCACACTGAGGGCCTTTACCATGAAACGTAGTTTATACTGTAACGCCCATCTCAGAATGTTCGTCAGTCCCACAAAAGCTAAGGACCCAGGTTAATTAAAGTTTAAGTGATGTTCTAGTTAATTCTTCATACAAAAGATCACACCAAATTATAGGGTGTGTTTGAGTGTGTGTGTGTGTGTGTGTGTGTGTGTGTACCCATGCGCATGCATATACTTGCAGGTACTCCTGCCTCAGTACCTCCCGACCCACAGGTTTACCTGAAGCATCTTGTCAGGGCTGGGCTCAATGCCAGGCGGCATGTTGCTCGGGTCAAAGGCCAGCTGCTCAACCTCAGCAAAGTAATTGACTGGGTTCCGATTTAAGACCATTTTACCAACGGGGATAAGAGGATAGTCCTTGTGAGGCCAAACCTAAAAATAATGTGATATTCACAATTACCAGACAACCAACTGAAGCAAATTAAAGTACCCCCAAAAAATGCCAGCTTTCAAATAGAATGAAGCCCAATGATGATAAGTAAAAATAATAATGTTTAATCCAATAAGATGATAAGGACTTAAGATAAGTGCATTGATTAAATCTTTCACAACAGTGAACAGTAAATATTGACACTTTCCCTGGGCAAAAGTACATCAGCTTTTCAAAACTTGCTCCCTGCTAATAGCAATATATCAAGCCCTGGCCAGGTGGCTAATTAGTTGGAGCATCGCCCCATAAACCAAAAGGTTGTGGGTCCAATTACAGGTCAGGGCACACACCTAGGTTGGGGCACCTATGGGAGGCAACCAATTGATATTTCTCTCTCACATCGATGTTTCTCTCTCCCTCTTCCTCTCTCTCTAAACATCAATAAACACATATCCTTGGGTGAGAATTAAAAAAAACAACAACACAATATATCAAGCCACCTAGGCCAGGGGTGGGCAACCTCTGGCACGCGTGCCAAACATGGCACTCCAGTAACTTTTGCTGGCACGCGAAACCCTCTCTTATAATCTTCCATTTACAATTGTGAATCTTTGTTCTCAGTGATGAATTTTGTTGAGTCTCGTAATAGGAGTAGCCTGACGGATGAAAGTAGTAGCTCATGCATATCTCTGAAGGTCACGAAATATAAACCTGATGTAAAATCTCTGTCATCAGTGATGCAGCAGCAAAAGTCCCACTGATAATATCAAATGGAGTCATAAAGTTTTCTGTCGGACTATCAGTGTACATGTATACATTAAAAAATAAATGTATTTTTCATCATCGTATACTGTGTTTTTGTCGCTCGAATGAATTTTATTTCTTCAAGGTTCTTCACATACATACACCTTAAGAGATATCAAGTAGGCGTAACGTGTTCTCAAAAAATTAGGGTTGGCACGCAGAAGAATTTTGAGTCAGAGCTTTTACTGGGTTTGGCACGCACTCACAAAAAAGTTGCCCACCCCTGACCTAGGCGAATTCAAGAGCTTACAATCGGGAACTAGAAGCAAGATGCTGGTGAGCACTCACTCACAGGCTGGGAAAGACTTCCCTGCCATGATGAGTGCTTGACTGGAAATTTGTTAAAATTAGGTACAAAGAGACTTAAAGAAGAAAACCGCTTAGTTGTTAACTGACTTACCTTGGTAACATCGAACGGATTAAATGGACAACTTTCTGCCTGACTGAAGGTCATCACCTGGATGTAAAAAGTCCAGGAGGGGCAGTTGCCTGTGGCGATGGCATTGAAGAGATCCCGGAGCCCATAGTCAGGATCTTCGTGGGAGAGTCTTGCTGCCTCTTCAACCGAAAGGTTTTTGATGCCCTGGTCAGTCTACAGAACGAAAGAAAACGTTCAAACTGAAACTTACTGGCACAGTTAGCGAACTCTAGTCAGGAATTCATTGTAGGATTCTGAGTAACACTACTCAGAGACGGGCCTTCCCTTCTAACTGTAATCCCACTGTTCAAATCTGACACAAATATGAATTTTTCAACAAGAAATTCTACTTAATTAATCTGATTCTTTTAAATGTCTAGGGAATCCATCTCTTCAATTCATATTAAAATTAGTCATATCCTTCCCTTTATCATTCCATACTATTTAAATTTTTTAAATTGTTGACATACAGTTTATTTTTATTTTTCTGCCCATATAAAGAGTGCTGTATTAATGTCTTCAGACAAGCCCCATAAAAAAATTTGGCATAAAATTTATCATTTTAAAGTGTTCAATTCAGTGGATTTTTTTAGTATATATCTCAAAATGGAGTTGCTGGGTCATATGGTAATTCTACATTTAATTTCTTGAGGAACTTCAAAACAGTTTTCCAGAGTGGTTGCTATTTGAATTTTTATACTCATGCTACTTTTCAAGTCAGAAAAAATAAAAATGTATTTTTTAAATGAACAAATAATAAAATTAAAAAATTTTCTTTTTGCATTAAGAAATTTTTAAATTTTGTTTTAATAGCTCAAGTCAATTATGAGATTGTACTCAGCTAGTATTCCTCCACCCCCATACTCTTCCTTTTTTTTTAAAGAAATTATAGAATCATAGTTCACAGAGCTGAAAGAACTTCATTCAGTACAGCCACTCTGAAGCAGTTCTCTGACTATGAGTGGATAAAATTAGTATTCTGACTTTCCAAACAAGATCCAAAGAAGTTAAATCATTTTCACAAGTGCTCCTATTATCTCATGCCATACTGATCTTTAATAAATTTCCCACCTGTATCTTAATCTAAAGATCCCCATCACACCAAGCTCCATGGAAAGACTTCCTTAGCAAAAATCAACTCTGAAAGACTAACCCATTACGACCACAGAAATCCCAACTCTCTAGCCAGAGGCAAGATTTGAACCCTTCCTACTATTAGAAATAAAGCCAGGATTTTAAAATGGAGGTTCCCATTGGCAGATCATCCAGAGAGCTAACACATTAAAGTGTGCAATAATATTGCAACACCTTCCTGATTTTAATTAAATCTGTTGGGCTTAAAAATGAGTTCTCTTAGGTCAGAATCATCGAGACATGAATCTCTGTAGATCTCAGGCTACCTCAGGCCCGCTGCTGAACAGACCCGTAAGCAAGCCCATCTCCCCAGGACCATGGACAGCAGGTATTATTATCCCAATTTTATAGACACAAAACTGGAGCTCAGAGAACTTCTAATAACATGCCCAAGACACAGTTATCTAGAAGAAGGAAGATCTGAGTTTGGGCTGGTCTAACTGCAAAGCCACCAACCATGCCAGCTGTCCCAGATACAATCATTTAGTCCAGTGGTCGGCAAACCGCGGCTCGCGAGCCACATGCGGCTCTTTGGCCCCTTTGAGTGTGGCTCTTCCACAAAATACCAACTTCTGCACATGGGCCATGAAGTTTCAATCACACTGTACGTGCACGCCCGAACGTGGTATTTTGTGGAAGAGCCACACTCAAGGGGCCAAAGAACCGCATGTGGCTTGCGAGCCACGGTTTGCCGACCACGGATTTAGTCTTACTCTAACACTTCTTTTGACAATGACAAGCCCATGGGCCACATTCAAGCCAGCCAACGTATTCCTTGCCAAAGATTATAGATCCGAGTCATAAGTATAAAGAGGAGTGACGGTTTTTCTGTTTGATATACCTACATACTAGTTAGTTGTTCAAGTAAATATTAAGACAGGAAAGAAGAAAGCAGATCTTTGTGAGGTCATTAAAGGGAGACGCCATTTGTCATGAGTTCACCTCTGTCTCTTCTTATTTTAGCAGGAGTTTTGGAAACAAGTTCTTAGACACCAGAGGTTTTCTAATAACCTTCTAGAGTTCTCATGGGATACTGCTTATCCTAACAAATGGCAAGATTAAGAGAGCCCTTTAAAACATTTCAGTTAATTAAAGGGCTCTCAAAAACCTCCCCAAAGGTAACTGATCATACGAAAGTAAATTTAAAAAATATGCCCTAGCCGGTTTGGCTCAGTGGATAGAGCATCAGCCTGCGGACTGAAGGGTCCCAGGTTTGATTCCAGTCAAGGGCATGTACCTTGGTGTGGGCACATTCCCCAGTAGGAGGTGTGCAGGAGGCAGCTGATCGATGTTTCTCTCTCATCAATGTTTCTAACTCTCTATCCTCTCCCTTCCTCTCTGTAAAAATCAATAAAATATATTTTTTTAAAAAATAGAATTTTTATTTTCTAATGTTTGTAATTGATTTTACTTATTTTTCTTGTTCACCATATGCCCTCTCAATAAATGCTCAATACGTGGATGGATGAATTAAAATGTTAGGAGAAATGTATTTGGAAAGATCGCATCGGATTTGGAAAGTAACAGTGAGATAGGTATTGCTGACAGAATGCCCCACTTCTGCCGTAGTCCCCTCCTGGACCCCAATATATATCTATGTTCAGAACAGTGAATAAGGGCTAGGAAAGGCAAAGCGTGATACTTTACTGTTTGCAAAGGCTTGACTCTAAAACTCCAACAAAGAACTCTAGAGAACTAGGCTAAACCAGATAGAAATCTCCATTGGCCTAGTATTATCTTATTAGGTGAGCAGTCTGGAGGCCTGTATTATCTTATTACTTTTGAGCCCAAATAAAAACCTTAGATCTTCCCTCTCCAGGGAGAAAAGAATTTCAATGTGCACCTGCCCGCACCAGAAAGCCAGCACAAAAGAAACATTTTCCCAAATATGTATGGCAGAGTGCCCAGGGTCCAGGAGGAGAAAAAAGCTTGACAATGGACAGCAGCTGTGTCATCTTACCCTCTCTAGCCACATGAAAAGAAGACTACACACAGTTCTGACTGAGCAGGTGAACAGGTGGCAGAAAACAAAAGATTCACGGTACTAATCAAGTAGATCAGTACTTCTCATCCTTGGGGGTGGAAGTAAGGGGAAGAGTGGAGAGGCCTTGATCTTTTGCATCTCTGCCTAATCCGCAGAATTAAGGAGATGTGGGTGGTGGGAGCCTTTTATCCCTTGCCCCAAAGGAAAGCATGTACCTTATAATGGAATTTGCAATAAACTGCCTCTCCATTCGCATTAACCAGCTTGAAAGTATGCGACCCATATCCATTCATGTGCCTGTGTCCATCTGGAATCCCCCGGTCACTGAACAAGAAGGAGACCTAAGGAACAGAAAAATAACACCTAATATTTTTCCATTTAAATCAAAACATCCTAGGTTTTTAAGACACTCCTACATGTCCAGAAAGTCCCTAGCATGAAACATACTAACCAAGTACCTACAAGAAGGGTTACCATTACCATCATTTATTTTTTTTAAAAGAAGAATTTTAAAGCAGAATGATAGATAAATCATTAACCTCTACAAAGAAAAACTAAAATAAACCTGAAAACTAGCCTAACTTGCTATTCAAAATTTATTTTAAGAGTAAATTTGTTTGCACTACTTTCCCCTCATTTCCCTAATACTTCATACTAGAGACTTTGATCCTTAATATTGCTAAATTTCAACTGATAATGTTTCTAGCATCACTTAAGGTCTATGATCAGGGCAAGATTAATAAGATCGGTCATTATAAAATTATTCGAGATCAAGAAATCTGAGTAAGCCTCCCAAAAAGAAAGTCAGAAACCAATTCCAATGAAACAGTCAAAACTGGAGAAACACACTCTGAGGCATGATCCCAGTTCCCTCCCAGGTGCCATATTGTGACCCAAGGAAAAAGCAGTGTTCCCACCTGATGCAGAGACTCGGGCCGCAGGCTCCAGAAGTCCCAGACCATGTCTGGGTCCTTCAGGTGCGTTTGAGGGTTTCTCTTTTGGCTGTGGATGAAGGACGGGAACTAAATGGAAAAAGAGAGAGAGAATAAAAAACAAATGATGCTTACAGGAATTATGGTATCGAATATTATACAATGCCTGTTGCTAGGTTGATGGATTATAATTCCGAACATCATCCTAGAATTTTAAACTGCCAAACCCTAACATGAAATTTACCCTCCTCCTGTTTTTATTAATCTTCCATGCTCTGCAAGGAAAATTGGACTCTTCCCATTAAGTCAGTGAAGACTAAAATGCCAAATCCAAGCCCAATGGTAACTGTCATAATTTGATCTTATAAGAAGACATTAACTACAGAAAGATATGTCTTAGAAGGCAATCCCTCTGACCCGGATTCTCTTCTTCCTGTCTTTCCCAGGACTGCACCTCAAATGCCAATCTATAAAGAGAATTTGAAATCAATTTAAACCAACGAGCACTTGTAGAGTGCAAAATACGCTATCACCTACCAATATGGCATCCCTGATGAAGAAAATGGGGGTGTTGTTCCCAACAAGATCCCAATTACCATCCTCGGTGTAAAATTTCACTGCAAACCCACGAGGGTCACGAACGGTGTCGGCTGAGCCCGATTCTCCAGCTAGAAGATTCAAATGGGGGAAATGAAGCAGACGCAGAGCACTTTGCCCCCAATAAGCCTAGAGTCATAAAGAAACGCTGATATCTAGCCTGTCCAATCCATTTCCTAGACGTAAATTAGGTGTGGAAGTGCCTAGGTTATTATTTCTACCATCCACCAGCTAAGTTGGTCTACAAATTAAACAAAAGAATTAATGGACAGCAAGACAGGCATACCCCGTTTTATTGTGCTTTCGCTTTATTGCACTTTATATCACCGATGTTTCGAATTTTACAAATGGAAGGCAAGACCCTCCACCAGCAAAAAGCCTATGACTGGCTTTATTGTGATAACTGCTTTATTGGGATGGTCTGGAGCTGAAAGCACAATATCCGGAGGTTTGCCTGTCTATGTAATAACAGCTGAAAAGATTATTCATTCGACATAATGAGAAAGCTTTGTTCGAACAGGAAATTAAAATTTAAATTAAAATAAGGGGAGAGAATAATTATGAAGATAAGGTGGTGAGCAAAGAGAACACAAGTTAGCAGAATTACGAGTTTCATATTAAGAAAATGAGTTGACATATAGGTTCTTATTCTTGATTTCATTTAGATTTGCATTCCCAAGAATTTTAAAAGTGCACAAACAGATTGAACAGAATCACAACATTGTGGTGTGTTAAGATGTAGCCTGGCAAATCTAATTCTCACTAGCTCCGTGACATGAGAAAAATCACTTAACCTCTCTGCAACAGAACTCATCCCTCTCTGCAAAGTAAAACTACACATTAGATGACAGCTAATGTCCGTAAAGCATGGGTGGCATGGAGTTAATTCTCAAAAAGGGGCAGCTGTCATCGTGGTGACTGAACAAGAGCACCAACTCCATGCTCCGTCTGAGGCACCACCACTTGTGGCAAAGTTCTTTCCAAATGGCACAGCATTGCATGGACTGACCCAGGACCGTGGGAATCAAACCGTGACCTCCTGGTTCAAGTGTGATTTCCTTAGACCTCAACAAAGAGATATATAAGTAACGTCCTACATGTTGCAAGATATTTTTTCTACTGTAACACGTGGCAATGATTTGAAGAAGTGCTTGTTTTCTGTCTTCTTAACAAAGTTTTCTTGAAATTACAAATGCCCCAAATAAGGTGCGGGAATACAGGTCCCGCAAACAGACTGACTTACCAACAGTGGAGAATCGAACTGCAAGGGGAGTCCTCTTTCCAATATGCTCGAACACCTTCGCCTTGGAGTATTTGGTAATGTCGTGCGTGACCTCAAAGTAGCCAAAGGCCCCTAACGAGAAAGACACAGACATTCTCATGAGACTGTCACTCAGACTATCAGGCCCTCAACAGGCATCTGGGTGACCAGAGAAACTGATGGGTTAGCCTTGAAACTGGCCTTCTGGGAGCTTCCAATATGAAATCAATTTAAACCAACAAGCATTTGTAGAGTGCAAACTCCTGTATCACCGACCAGTATGGCATCCCTGATGCTAGGGCAAGGGGAGGTGTCCAAACACAAAATGACAGGAGTAAAAGTCAAAGCCCTATTACAGTGCTAAACTGAGGGCTGTACAGCTGGAGCCAAGAGCAGGAAGACAGGGGTGGGGCTGGCAGTAACTGATCAAGGTGGCCCCAAGGACATAGGGCCTGAGAGGGCCTTGAAGTACAGGGAGGACCTAGAAGAGAAAAGAACAGGAGAAGAGAAGAAAACACAAGGAAAGCAATAAACACGAAGGAAGGACATCACAGAGCCAAACAACAAACCGCACAACACACCAAAGTCACCATGGAAAAGCCAGGCCAAAAAAACAAATGAAAAAACTAGAGAAGATGGAAGAAGAGGAAATAAAGAAATCAGGGAGTCCGAGTAAGCAGCTAAGAGAAAGACTGTTTCTTCCTTTCTATCAAGCTTCCTTTTTCCTATTGAGTTTTTAGCTTTCTTTTCAATACCACCTCCATCTTTTGTTTCTGTAATTAAAAGCAAGGTAAACGTTTTACAGATATTTTGAACAAAAAAGGAAAAATCACCACAAACCCACCATCCTAACCCAACTATCCTTAATTCTGCACAGTCTGTGCCATTGTTTATTCAGTTAGTGCAACATCTAAACCTAGTTATGGTATGTCCATGTCTGTATATCATATTTGTATTTCTTCACTAAACTGCATAATGGCAGAAAAGGGAGATTACTTTTGTTTTCAATAAAATAAAGTATTTTATACACAATGTTTCATCCAGGGAAATGAGCATCATGTAACTACTAATTCCTATTTTGATGGACACCTTTTCCTTTCTCCCAGGGATGGAGATTTGGCACTTCTTTGAAATGAGAAATCATTTTTAACCCGTGTTCTGAAACAATCCTTTGACAACAAGTGGACACAGCTCTCACCTGCTCCTTTAGCATGCACCACTCTCTCAGGAATCCTCTCCCGGTCAAAGTGAGCCATTTCATCGGTGAAAACCACATCCTGAACCAGGAGGGGCCCCCGGGGTCCTGTTGTCATAGTATTAAGTTTGTCCCCTATTGGAATACCGGCCCCGGTGGTGAGGACATCAGGTTTCTAAGCAAACACGAAAGGAAAAGAGTGCAGGCAAGTCAGTACAAAATAAAAAGTGATAATGATAATAATTTTAAAAGACGGTCATTTGCACTGCCATAGGTACATCATTTTGCAATGTTCATACTTTCTACCCAAAGTCTTTACATTTCATTGCTTGGAATTTATAATCAGGTCTCAGAAGTCCTTGAGAAATCTCAACCCCAATCTGCTAAGAAGTCTGCTCCGAAGAACAGGAAGATAAATAACCCGCGAACCTGCTCAGCTCCTGTTGCAAATACAGTCATCAGCTCCACCCCCAGGTAAGGATCCCCAAAGAAGGGATCGTACAACACCGAGTGTCCAAACGAAGAGTGAGAAGGTGGCCTCTGAGAAGCTATGGCAGCGAGCACGGTACTCAGCACTCACACATGCTTTATTACACTTTATAGATGTCACAGTGGGCCATCCTGCCCATTTCCCTCAAGCAGTGTGTATCCCAGCTATCGGCAACATTTCTTTTCCATTCCCCAAGTAGAAAAGGTCAACAGCTTTCATTGTCACTGAAAACAAACTGTAACTGGTAAGATGGATAATAGTAGTAATCTTCTAAAGATGTCAAATGTCTCTGAAGTACAATAGGTTATTTTACCGTAATCAAGCATGTTTTAATCCACTCAATTCTCCAATTTCAGCGACATCCGAAGCTGTCCCTTCTCTAGGGTGGGAGCAGCGTTTTTCTAAGCCCCACATGATCCTTGTTCCATCGTCACACACTCTATCTCTGACTCAGACAACCACCTCTCCATGTCCCCCTCACTGGGAAGGCAGAGGAGATGTGTGGGTGAAACCAAGCTACACCACCTCTGTCCCAGGAGAACAACTCAAAAACGTCTACTGATGAAAGTTAACGGTACCGACCTCACTTACCCAAAAAAGCACTATGCTCAGAATTTCCACCACCTGGAGTGGAGTATATAACTTAGCGCATATCCGTCCCGAACTTTAAAATACAGTTAATACCTGCCTCTTCTCTAGAAGGGAAGATGGGAGGGAAATCACTTAAACCATAAAAGTACCGTGAGCTCTTTGGGAAAATGCACTGAATAAAAGTGATCTTGGGCCCAGCTGGTGTGGCTCAGTGGTTGAGCGTAGACCTAGGAACCAGGAGGTCACAGTTCGATTCCTGATTAGGGCACATGTCTGGGTGGAGGGCTCAATCCCCACTAATGGGAGTGCAGAAGGCAGCCGAGCAATGATTCTCTCTCACCATTGATGTTTCTCTCTCTCTCTCCCTCTCCCTTCCTCCCTGAAATCAATAAAAATATATTTTTAAAAAAGAGAGATCTTGGAATTTGAAAAATTAATAAAAAAGGCCCTCACATGCCCTAATACAATCCCTGTAGCCACTAGCGTTCTGCTCACAGTGAAATGGGAAGTCAACTCGGCACCGTGGAGAAATCCTGCGTCCTGCCCCCACAGAGCCTGGGTCCAACTTCCAGCCCTGCCAGTTACCAGATGAGCAGCTACTAGCTAGTTACTTATTATTTCTGAGTTGCAATTTTTCATCTACAGAATGGAAAAAAAAATGACTACCTCCCAGAGTTAATACAGGGATTAAAAGAGTAAATGTCTGCAAAATGCAGGCCACACACGTAAGCACATGTATGCTACCACTTCACTGGCTGTGAGAAACTGACCCAACAGCCATGACAGACGTGCAGGCATCCAGTCAGGCCCTCTCCCTACCCATCCAGCAGCAAACCCTTCGGAACTGTACAAAAGTTTAAGGGTCCACAGTTACCGCCAATCACACCACTCTCTTTTGCAGATACACATGTGCTAATACATGTGACACTGTACACTTCCATTTAAAACTTAAAGTAGAAAAATGAATCCGAAAAAGGAGTGAACTTGTGCAATTTAACCTTTAGTTTAAACCTAAACCTTAATTTTTTAGCCCTAGCTATCAGTGGAATCACCAGGGGAACTTTTTTCCTCTGTTCTTGATGAGTTGCCAACACGAAATGATCACAACATCGCTAGTGGTTTTCAATAACCAGCAAACATTTAGAGTAACACTCTGGAAAATGAAATCGTTAAAATGCACGGAGTAATAGCTATTGCAAACGAGGTTTTCTCTGTCTTGAAACTGTCTATTAAATACGTCTGGGAGCACTGAGAACTGGCAGGGACCCTTAAAAAAAAAAGTAGGGAAGAAGAAAGAAAAAGAGGATCAAGAAAGGAAGGATAATTGATCCACAAATGTAAAATATTCCTTTACTTTTTGTAATAGAAACTACAGTGGTCAAAATACTTAGAAAGAAAATACAGAACAAAACATACAGAGAGAAAAACAGAACTGCTCGTTTTATATTTTGCAATCAGCCTCTCTTTTCTTACCTGGAGAAAAAATATGAAGTGTTCTAGATTTCGACAAACAGAAATAGAAGCTTAGAAATGTTTATTCCATTACTCATCATGTGTCTGTCTGCCCCTATCTCTCTCCCCCACACTATGACCCAGCAATTCCATTCCTAGGTAAATTTAGTTACTAAGAGAAGTGAAAGCACATGTGTATAGTGAATTAAATTATCAGTCACCCTTTCTCCATCCCAAATATTGGCAGCATCACATCAATGCAATTACTAAAAAAAAAAATACACAGACCCTGCAGGCACTGTCTTATGACTCACTGACAGGAAAGGATGAGCTAAGACCCAACCTCTCTCCCAGGTTAAAAAAAAAAGGAAACTTTTTAACCCTTTGTACCCCGTAAGTGTCTGTAAACACAAGTGGGATGGTTTCCATTTTGGACGCTTGGCAGTTAACTGGTTAAAAAGGTAAGGCCTGAGACATACAAAGCCTCCAATTTTTAAGGGAGCAGAGGCCACTAATGAAGCCTAAGTGTCCCAGTGGAAGAGCCAGCCCATGGCATTCTAAGCAGTGAGCCACAAAGCTCCCGGTTAAGTTCCATCCAAAGAGACTGGGAACGCCTGCAGCATCACCTCCCTCCCCTCAATGTATTCCGAGAGAACGAGAAATAAAGATAGTTAAGACGGTCCAAGTCGTACCTAAGGACATATCTGATTCAAGTTTACAAAACTCCCAGTTCACTTAACAGCAACAAAACCTGACCACAAGGAAAGACGCCCAATAAATTGCTTTCACATTTGCTGACGCTCTGGTTCCAACAGAGGATCCACCCAGCTTGGCATTCTGCGCCTGGGTCCTGGAGGAGGAGGAGGCAGCATGGTGCGCTCCGACAGGAGTTCCGACAGGTAAAGCTTGCACAGTCCAGTAAAAGTAAAAACAGCCTGGGGAGTGAGGAGGAGGACGGGGATACAACGCTGCCCATGTGAGCAAAAGCATGGGCCAAGCAAGAAGAGATTTAAAAAACACACTATCCATTCCTGTCATAATTTTCTAACAGAAAGAATATTTTCATGTCAGAAAGTAAAAAGGACATAATCTTTAAAAAGAGATCATGTCCTTCCTTAAAGAGGAAGAGAAAGAGGGAAGGAGGGAGGGAGGGATAAAGAGAGAGAGAGAGAGGCAGACAGACACATTATGAAAATCTATCCAGCCTTTCATCACATCACAAGAAAATGGCTGGATAGATGTTCACCAAACATGTTTTGTATGGTTTGGATAATGCAGTAGGGTAAACTACCTGGACACAGAGGTAGACTACGTTTCCCAGCCTCCCTCATGGCTAGATGTGGCCATGTGACAGAGTTCAGGCCAATGGAATATGAGTAGAAGTGACCTACACCACTTCTAGCTTGGCCCCTAAACCTCTCACACACACTCCTCCATGCTCCCTGACCCTCTGTAGCTAGACAGCGATGCCCAGGGCAATCTTAAAGGTCATGTGTCCACAAAGGAGTGGCCTCTTTCAGCCTGAAGCCCTCAATGACTGCAGGTACTCACTCCCCTCCTCAACCTCAAACCACTCTGGCTCATCATGTAAGAGAGAGAAAAAGATGGACACGAAAAGCTGACAGAATACACAGAGAAATACACAAATATTAAGTGGAGCAACTAGAACTCTCACGCTGATGATGGAAGCCTAAAAGGGTACAACCACTTTGGGAAAAAGAAGTTAAGGTAATAACAAATTCCAAATTCTTGTTTCTGTGTTTACTTTTTCTCAGCACCACTGGTCATCAGAACAATGTAAATTAAAACTGCAATCGGATACCACTTCACACCCACCAGAATAGCTAAAATGAAAAGACTGGCCAGGCCGGTGTGGGTCATTATTGTTGAGCGTCAATTAGTGAACCAGGAGGTCATGGTTCCATTCCCAGTTAGGGCTCGATCCCCACTAGGGGTTGTGCTGGTGGCAGCTGATCAATGGTTCTCTCTCATTGATTATTCTCTCTCTCCCTCCCCCTCTCTGAAATCAATAAAGACATATTTTAAAACATTCACATACTCTATGACCCAGCAACTCTACGCCGACGTATTTCCTAAGAGAACTGAAAGTATATGTGCACAAAAAGACTTGTATAATATTTTTCATAGCAGTTTTATTCATAATAGCCAAACACTGAAAATACCCCAGGTATCCAGCTCCAGGATAAACAAATGGTATATTATTCAACAGAATACTACTAAGCAATAAAAAAAAAAAATAAAGTTTGATATATGCAACAATATGAATGAATCTGAAAACATTTTTTTAGTCTTAGAACACTTTTTTAAAAAAAATATTTTTATTGATTTCAGAGAGGAAGGGAGAGGGAGAGAGAGACCGAAACATCAATGATGAGAGAGAATCATTGATCAGCTGCCTCCTTCCCAACCCCTCACTGAGGATCCAGCCCGCAACCCAGGCATGTGCCCTTGACCGGAATCGAACCTGGGACCCTTCAGTCCACAGGCCAACACTCTATCCACTGAGCCAAACCAGCTAACACAGTCTTAAAACACTTTTGCTGAATGAAGCATTAACAAAAAGTACAAAAATCAAAAGTTAAAAAAGAAAATCAACAGTAGTTGCCTGCAGAGGGATTGAAGGAAATGCCTGGGAAACAGCATGAGGGAACTTTCCAGGGCGGTGATAATCTTCTATATCTTGATAAAGGAATAGGATTCACAGGTGTATATATCATAGAATGATCCACTTAATATTTGTGTATTTCTCTGTGTATAAGTATTTACCTTAAAAACATTAACATTGAACTCTGTTCATGTGTATGCTTGGTGTTCATGGGGTCAAGTCTACTGATATCTACAACTTACTCTGAAATGCACCCCCCAAAAGTAGGAGAATGAATATATGGAGGGATGGACAGAGAGAATACATGAAATAAAACATATATAGCAAAATATTCAGTGTAGAATCCAGAGGGTGGGTATATGGAGATACACTGCACAATTCTTTCAACTTTTCCGAATGTTAGAAACGTTTTTATACTAAAACACTGGAAAATTATACAGGCTTTATGACATATGCAAAATTCCTCTTGGGAGGTATAGGGTGGAGGACACTTCAAAAAAATAAGCTGTTTTCACTCAGAGCAGCGAAAGGTGAGGAATACGAAGACATTCCAATCAGGACAACTGCACAGTGCATTACAACGCCACGGGCAGAGGAGACAGCAGCATTCCAACCATGAGTTCCCCAAGTACATATGTGCTTTGTGGGCCAGCTGTGTCTGACCTGGGCAAACCATGTAGGGTAAATCATCAGCCGGGTCACCATGATTTAACAAACAGTTCATGATTCTCCCAAACAATGAAGACAGAGGCAAGCTAGTCTCAGAATAAAGGGGAGTCCTTTCAAAAGGAGTAAATTTTGTTCTATGTAAAACTCATTACATTGCCCATATTTTTTGCAATTCACCGAGTGTTCATGCAAACTTCTGTGTGAACCAAGATGTAGCAACCATTGGGTACGGAGAGAGTCCTGTCTCCAAGAGCCAAGATCTGGGTTTGACTCTGCCACAACTAGGTGCGCGTGCTTGATGAGTAAGACTCCAAGTCTCGGGTTCGCTATGATGAAAAACTCATAAAAAACTCACATGACCTCACTCATATGTGGAACCTAATGAACAAAATAAACTGATTAACAAAAGAGATCCCGACATATAGAAGCATGGAACAGACTGATGAATCTCAGAGGGAAAGGGGGGCTGGTTGGGTGGGTGAGGAGAGATCAAGTAAAGAACTTTTATGTATATATGCATAACCCATGGGCACAGACAATAGTGTGGTGAAGGCGGGGGGATGGGGGG